AAAAAATAGATTTTTCATATGTTTTACTATGTGATCGACAAAAATTACGTAGACTTTTGTCCAGTGAGTGTATATGTCGTCCGACTTATCGAGAAAAATTTAAATATGAAAAAAAGGGGTGAGAGATTTCGTCCGACTTAAGCCAAATCCGACTTATCGAGTGTCCGACTTATTGAGTTTCACTGTGTACCAACATTACTGGTGACCAAAATGGGAAGATACATCGAGCAATATTAATATGTAAAATCCTGTGAAACCTGCCAAAAAATGAAAAATCCAACGAAAGTAGAACCATTACAATCGATTACGCTAATCGGTACAATGAAAAAATAAGGAATCGACCTGATTGGACCATTACCACGCGCAGTGATCCTTCCAATCCATCTGCACCTTCTTCACCACGACCAGATGATAATGACAACTCATCTCACAGTGATTCTAATGATAGTGACATAGACTCTAATCCTCGGAAAAAGCGCAGACGAGGTGAGATAATCAATATTTAGTATCGATTATTTGGCTGAATGGCCAGAAGCTAAAGCGATTGGTGACAAACAAGCTGAAACAGTAGCATCGTTTGTGGTTGATGAAATAATTTGTCCCAAGCGAACTAGTAGCACCAATGATAAAACCACGCTCAAAGTCTGTTAATTCAAATCTTAATAAATCGTGTATAAAGATGTAAACAAAAGATGTAAAATCTTGATACTTATGGTAATAAAATTTGATAATAATGCATTACATTATAAACTTTTAGAGAAAAGTTGTATCACTGGCTGTTATTAAACAATGTATTTAAAAATTTTTATATCTTCACAAATATCCGAGATATTCTGGAAACCTTTTTTTAAAAAAAGGTAATAATGGTAGTGCTGTAAAGTGAATGAAAGAAAACGTTATTTATTATGTTCCAATAATTTAACAAAAAAGTTTCCGTGACTTGTCGATTTATTACCTAAAATATGTGCCTTAGGCAAAATTTTTATTTCCATATTAATGTAAGACAAAAACTTGTTGTTTGTTTGGGGATCTCGTTTTTGTTGATTGTTGTATACTTTTGGTAGGTTAGTGTACATGGGAAGAATATGTTGCTACGGCACCCGACAATTAACTACTAAGTATACGCTATTTTACCTATTACATGGGTACGAAGCGGTTACACCGCTCAACAAACGATTGGCTAGAATCAGAAATTCTGATTAGGACAATTAATCGAAATACTTAGTAATCGAGTTCAAGCTCGAGAAAATATTAGAGCGCCAGAAAATACAGGAAGAATACTATGATCGTGGACTAGTAGACCATCCTATATAGTTGGAGATCTAGTATGGATCGATAAAAAGACGCTTAGACGGATACCACGTGACAAAATGGATACGAAATTAGGACCGTTTATCATTATACGAAAAAATAAGAGCGGTACCTATTATGTGAAAGATCGAAAAACTGGAGTCGAATTAAGAACGGTTCAACATCGGTGGGGCGAACCGATGGTTGAAATTGAACAAATAGAAGGCATCCACAAGGGACCGAATTTCCTCGACAAATAGATGCGAGTGACGAAGATGTTTAATTGTACTGTTATCCATCAGTCAATTAGATACTTCTGATCTTAATCAAAGGGTTCGACGCCATGCGAAGAATTAGTCCTTTGATTGCCTCGGTGCGTCTATTATTGTCGAACGATTTTTTATTTATTTATTTTATTTTATTATTTTATTGGAACATTCATCATATCAACATAATTTTCATAATGTCCGATCTGCATTTAATTGGATATACACCGCACTTAGTCTTGTCTTTCTCGTAACGCGAAGCGCGGACAGGATAAACTGTTAGGTGTAGCACCACAGGACCCTTGGGCAAGGTAGAAGAAAATTCTTACTCCCACAATGGCTGAATGAAGAAATAAGATTGTATACCTTTACGTTATTGGGCTTATACTCGATACCTGTCTTCGGCCAGGACCAGCGATTGCTGCGAAAGAGCCTAAACTAAGAAATTTTTATGCCGAAAAAACATCAGAAAAATAGAAAATTTATAATTTTTACCAATATATTGTGTAGCAGCGACTGCATGGCTGTTACTTAATCTTTCGAATATTACAACAACAGAGTTCTGCGGTTGCATATTAAGATCGATTAGGTTGCTCTTACGGTCACGACCATCCAGTATATTGGGCGCAAGTTATACAGTATGGGATTTTTGAGGTCCGACTTGGATTGATTCCAAGGAAGGATATGTTTGGGCGGACGAGAAATCGGAGCAACTCACAATTTCTATAATATTTTAAATTTTGAATATTAGAAAATCATTATTGGAAAAACGATTTTAATTCGACAAGGAAAGATTCAAAATTATTTCATGTTGCACATTCAAAATCCGGTGATGATTACAATAATATCCGAACAATCGATGTTCAAATTTTCGAATCCCGGAGCTGACAAATTGACGTCACATACAATAGAAACAATATCTAATTCAGCCAACAAATTATCACGAAAATCGACTAAGATATGAAACTGGTTGAAAGCCTAATTTCCAAAACGGGTGATTTCAATTGGTAGAAATCCTAAAGCAGGAAATAGGAAAGATTCCAGTGGAGAACGATTGATTAAGAATTGGAAGGTGACGACGCCAAGCGAAGTCATGAGGAAGTCTTCAAAGAATGCAAGATTTTATTGGCAAAATTCCGTCTAATTGACATACAATAGGTGGAAAACGCCTGTTGACTTATTATTATGGTGAAAAGTCGGACATAAGGATATTGGCAGTCCTTATCGAAGATTTGGAACAACAATGTGTTTATGGGAATATAAATAGTCGGATGTCTTGCCAAGACAGAGAGACTAAAGTACCCCTAGAGTTTGATGAACAATAATTAGTAATTAGTGCGTGAGTAATGTTTACTGGCCAAAAGTGCAATGATGTCACCGAAAATGTCACATGAGTGCAAAAAAGTACCGAGCTTCTTGGGGTAGTTGTGAGTAATGCTGATGAACTTTGTTGTGATTCTTACTCGGCATATTAATATTGTCTCAACATCCGATTGATTTGCGTGGTTAGACGAAATTAATCTGAAATTGAACAATTGATTTGTTTAATGAATGATTATAATTAGTGCTGTCTTCCATGAAAAGATAGGTGCAACAAAAAAACTAAGACTTTGCGTCATTGATATTGTTAAATACCCCTGGTATAGATATAAAGTTGATTTTACAAGCTTGTTCTCTAAAATCAGTAAAACTCTTGGCATATGAGTAATGAACTTTTGATTTCACTCTCATTGGTACAAGTTATTAATAACCCTGTCAGCAGATGTAAACAAGTTGACCTTGTCATCTAAAGATAGGGAGTGTTAATTTGTGTAACGTAACACTTCAACTTTGAAAAGTTATATAAACACACCTTTTCCCCCAGCCTTGACCTCAGCTTCACATTGTGAAACAATTCTTAAACAAACAATCTTAAATCAAACCCTTCCAACAACAAATGCAGATCTATGGCCAACAACTCACTCCTGAACTTTTCATCAAGCTCATTAGCTTAAAGGCTTGGAAACTCCAGGCAAATGAACATTACTACACTGCTACCAGAGAAGAACAAGGCCAAAGGCTCATGATATAATATGGGCCTACTTCAATGAAGTCTACAGTCATCTCAAGGCATACTTAATACTGGCCAAGAAGGATCAACACAGTTCAGTACCAAGCACTCTCATGTACAGACTGGAAATATCAACTCAATGCCAGTGGAGAGAATGTGGAGGTCAGAAGAGACAGCCACCCAGCAGTCATCTTCTGGTTACCCCTCAAAAAACTTACCAACTGGGGACAAGCCACCTCCACAGTTGGCAAAACATTCACCATCTACACTGCCATCTACAACCACTCCACAATCCTAAATCCAAAACCCAGAGCAGTATGATATCTTCAACTGGGCAAGGGCATATCAAATTGACACTGCTCCAAGTCAAACCCCTGAAAAAAGGAAGAAGAATAGCAGGGAAAGGCCAGCCAATAGCCAAAGTAACACATTGGAATTAAAAGACTGCTACCATCCGCAGTACATCATTGAATAAAAGAAAAAAAGAAACTGGTGATGCTCCTCTCATACAAAATATGATACCTTTTTTTCAAGTTGTTGGCATGAAAATTCAGTTCTATCTGCTTTTCAACATCAATGGTGACTCGTATGTATATTAATATGGGATTTATGAATGGGCATCAGAAGATTTTCCAGGCAAAGATACTGATGTTGCTGAGGTGATCCTTTTGTGCAGACAGTTTCTCACCTTAAAGTATGTGTTGCCCTTTCTTTTGATTTATTATTATTATTTATTTATTTATTTTCCTTTGGCTTCAAGATTATTTATACCAATAATTAAAATTGGTTTGAAAAAGGGGTGCCAGAAAGAATGAGTCACTGGAAAGAAATGAGTTGCCAGGATAGCATAATAATAAAAAAAAGATGATATATTAATATATAGTAATAGGAAAATCATTCTGGAAGACTGATAAAAATCAGATTTGATAATTGAGTAAGCAAGACTGATTAAAAATCGAGTAGTAGTAGCCTGCTGATTAAAAATCAGGATTGTATAACTTGTATATACATGATATTATATGTATAGGGTTAGGGTTATGGTTATTTATCTAGATTATTACTATTACAAAATTTTTTGCAGTATCTCATAGATAACAGTGAACAAGCATTAAATGCTCTGTTGAAGAAAGTCAAACTATTATTATTTGAGATGAGATAGAAGAGTATACTCAACCTACAGTAGTGCTAGAAAATTTATGAACTCCAGCAAAAAAGTAATAAAATAATTCAGGTAACTTGGCACAAGGGTTTTCATTATAATTATACAGTGACACCTCTATAAGTGCACCCTCCATAATAATAAATGCACACCCTCCCTATATAGTATGACTTCTAATTATAATGTGCTTTTTGTGATGAAAAATCAAACTTTTTTTCTTTCATTTATATTTAACAAATTATCACTCCAATTAAAGCTGCACTGTTTATGTTGTCATCTTGCAACATTTTCCATCAATGCATAACATCTGCATATTAATATTGTTGTAATGCAGGGTCCAGAGTCTGCCTTTGTTATTAGAAAAAACAAATATTACCAGTTGTCTGTGTTATTTGAATACTTGAACAAATAACATGCAAAAAACGCTAACAAAAGCAACAGTACTAGTACCAAAAACAGAACCAAGGGGGAAGAGGTACGACAGTTTTATTAGGAGTTGGTCTTATTATTACTGTGACTGTTGTGTTGGGGGGAATCCTGCTGACGCGTTTGATGTTAAGTCTTCAGATAATTAATAATGGAGACTTGCATCCATGCAGTTTTATTCCGATGGGTAATTTCTTAATATTATCCCATACATATGTGTATGTTTCATCATGATGCATCTTGAGCTTCACAGTGTCCAATACATTACAATGAAGAAGGCAAAAGAAACAAAAGATACGGAAAATCACATAGTGACATGCAAACCTGTTTCGTCATGATAATTGAGCACTTCGTGCAGTTTCAACAATAGTCTGCCTTCAAAATTGTCAAGTCCTTTGTTGATGACGTGAATTGGTAATTCCATGCACTGTGTCCCCTTTACAAAGTTAATTGTTCGCTCAAACAAAGCAGGGATTGATTAAGATTAATTTTAATATCACATGAAACCAATCAGATTCACAACACCATTAATATATAGCAATAAACGTAATTGAATCTCACGCTTTGCGTTACCGACTCGAAGCGAGCAATTCAAGGCACATTTATACAACAGTTCCACATAGTTCTATTGAATTACTGAGATGGCTGTGGATATCAATGCTATTTACGTAAGTCCCGGTTTTGTGATCATTTCGTTACGATGGATCAAATTCAAAAATTTGATGATTCCTTTTCGGTTCATAGTGTGATATTGATGGCGCGTTTGCGTCTTTGGCTATCAGAGAATCTCGTGAAAATCGAACTTTTACAAAAAGGTAGTAGGATGGTGATAAGTAACAGGATTTTATGCACGCATTACTAATAGTCATTGATTAAATAACAGTGAACGGTGTGCATTGATAAGCAAAGCCCTTTCTCATTTGGTCGATGACGATCTAGTATTTGACAAGAATCGTTTTGTTCTTCACGCTTTGCTCTCGCGATGTTGGCAATTGAATCAATCACCACAAAACTGTTAGTGAACGTAAATAGCACTCAATTTATTAACCATAATACCCGTAAACTTATTGGTGATTAACCACAGGCGTAGACTACCATGCCTTTCCGAACGCGTCAAAGCTCATGTCTACAGAGCTCTATGTGTCTCTTATAGAATCGCTTGATTTGAGCTATCAGTTCAAAAAAACCCTGTATGGACTCCCAAACGAGGTATCTCAAGAACTAATTATCATTCGTGTGTTGCTGTTCATTCACCGTTCATTTATCATTCATGAATCGATTTTCATCACACTATAAAGGTTGTAATTAGGTACTCGTCAGCTATACTCGAATGCTCACCACAATTCCTAGTTCATGTGCATGTTCCAATTCTTAACATTGCCAAGGATCAGCTTAAAGACAATACTTTGACATTTCTCAAAGACATGTGGAGACGCTATGGGTGTAATATATCTGGTAAGAGTGAGTAGAGGAGAAGAAATGGTTTGTTATTACGGTTATGAAAACATATAAACATAACATGTTTTATTATTGTTATTGTATGAAGACCCAAAGACTCAAATCTCAGTTTTCGATGAAACAATAAAAATCTTCGAAGGCATATTTTGCAACAACAGCATAAGTTCAGATTCTATGATAAAGGCACTGAAGGAATCAGACGACTGTGTTACTGGATGGGCTGTGCATTCTGACAGTGAACCTCGACTTTATCCGTTCACCACGTCACAACGCGAACGATGGGCTGAGAGATATCGATTACTCTCTTCTCCTAGGTATGCACTTACGATCCTTACTTGGAATACCAACAGGTGTACGCTAATTCGGTTTACTCTTGCTCTACGGAAGCTTTTTCAGGAAATTCCTTTTGGAAACACTTTCGTTGGTTTATTCAATGCTCGATGTGTTTACTTCTGATCGTCAGGCCCAAGATTATTTCAGTGTAGCTATGGAAGCATCAATGGCAAGACTAATTCGTGCAATAAGAGAATTGAGTGAGTCAAATGATTTTATGCTACTTCTTTAAGAAAGCAAAATATCAGCAAAGCATCGTTAATGGCTTAAAAATCGTTAGGCGCATTCGACGAGCTGAAAACCGAGAATGAAGTCAAAAGGTTACTTACATACGAAGAGTGGATGAGAAACAAGCCAAATCGAACCGCACGAAAGGTTGAATTATCGTATAGTACTTTCTCACAAATATGCTAATATATTCTGATATCAGGATTATTGTTAAAGACGCGACAGGAACGCATTTCTCGATGGTATTATGAACCGATTTAGTTCTTTGTCGCGTGCCCAAAGGCGCAGTTAACTTATTCTCTTGGCTTAATTAGTCTCGAAGCAGACACCGCTCAGTTGTCATCGCTTCGTTTGGCAACTGGCGTTCGAAATCTCCACCCTCTTGTGCAAATTACAAGAAAGATTCATTCGAATCTTGATATTCACAAATCACTTCCAATGCTCTTGGATGGGTTTAGAGTATCATTCGAAGACACCGAGGAATGCGTATCGTGGCTTCTCGATTGCATTAAACATCGTCGAATGGGATGTATGACTTTTCTGAAAGCAATTGTCGATTTTATCTGGATGTTTGTTGGGTAAGCGCTTGACACGTTTGCCGATAAGCTCCACTTTACATTTGGTGTGTCGATGTATTAACACTGATTATTTAATATCCGAATGACAGGAGGAGCGACTTTGACTCTGATTATTTCCTATCGCTGGTGATCGAACAGGGACTTAGTCTTGATTTATACAAAAGTATAGATCGGCTTTCAAAATCATATCGGTCTAATTCCTCCAAGATATCGAATGGTAGGATAAAGGTATGTTATCTGTCAATGGCTGATTACTTTTGACTGACTTATTTACAAGCATTTTGACTCGTCTCTTTTGTAGAATACGACTGCTTTATTCCTGAAATTATTTTCCAATCTTACGACTCACCAACAACAAATATTAAGAGATTATGTAGTCTCTCATAGGGACAAAGCATTAGACATAACTTCTCCAACTTTTGGTAATTGGGATTTATGGGACTATGATTTCGAGCGACGAGGTAGGGTCGTATGCAATCAGTTGATAGCAGGAGACGATGAAGATAGCGAAATACTCGAGGCAGTTATGGAGGTAAGATATGGTATACATGATATATGGTAATTATGTTCAGTGACCGTTGCTAACTCCTTTCCTGTTGACATGCATGGGCATATTATCACGTATAGCTTTCTCTTATATCTCCGTATCAAACGCTCGATCTACTTGTAATGGAAGCGATTAGGAACAAAGGCCAATCATCCGTCATTATACATCTGATATCTCAAGCACTAGGATCCATTACATCCTACAAATTCCATTCAACGTCTCCTCCACTTTTAATAGCGGTGTTGCAGAATCGTTTGCAAAAGATAAATTCGAATATAGTCATACTCTCTGACCAAGAAAGAAAGAACCTCATCACATTTATCCTTGGGTCAATCACAGCAGAGCTAATATCAAAGCCGGAAGTCATTAGAGATATGGTCATCCCGGAATTAGAGCATACCCAGAATTTACCCATAATGATTGGAGTTCTAGTGGGAATCATACACGACACGACCGAGGAGAAGACATGGTTATGGCAAACTAAGCCATTCTTGATGCTGATATTGCTTGGAAGGATATTAAGCGCGAGATCTAAAAGTGTCGGCGCATTGAGTGTCATTGAGAATGTTGAGAGAGTGCTAGACTTTATTATCGCACAGATAAAGGTGGCGTTTGAAACCGGAAAACATTGGAGGCAAGGTAAGCTTTCATGTGAAATATGACTGAACGAATTTTTGATCTTTAATTAACGTTTTAATGTCCCGTCGCTAGACGACATTGATGCGAATGCAATATCAATGCGCGAATTCTACAAAGATTCTTCATGTCTGTGTAAGTTTCTGCGGATAACTTGTTACTATGCACATTTTTCGCATGTTTTTTTACTAACCTGTTCAGCATGGTCATTCCATCTCCGATTATATTCCTTATTCGACCTCTTGAGCAAGACATTCAACTTCAAACTCATCCCACCACCAATTCCCAAACCGTTATATGACTTTCTGTCGCTCTCATCCGAGGAATTTACTGCTACGGGAAGTGAATTCCACTCCATCATTAGCAAGATAATGTTGTTTCTGGAGGCTTGTCGAATAGAGGATACATGGTGTACGAAATTTTGTGAGGTAGTAAAAGAATAGTTGCATGTGCTATTATTTTGAGCGCAGTCTCGGCACGTATTGACATATATATTTAAATTTCAGGCATTAGTAAAATCGCCATCAGATTTCTCGGTCAAGCGAAGAAATTTCCTCAAACTTGCACCGGTGGCATTTTGTTCAATATTAGATACGAGCACAGAGTCTGAGGCTATACGATTGTTGACACAGCTGGTAAAGACTCTTATAGGGTATGGTTTACTGTCGGCCAGCGATCTAGTCAGCAATTGCGGGGTCCTTGTTGGAGAGCTAGAAGTCCAAGGTAAAAGAAAAAAGTTATTAAAAGTCATCGGCGGGACCTACTGCTAAACAAGTGTTCAATTACTAGATCGCCTCTCGCTTGCGTGTATCAGATTCAGCATGATAAATATCCTCTCGGGTTTATCTACTCTTGCAACCGCCGGTGGAACACGTAATATGCTTCAGAGACATTCTATAAATGATTTGTACATTACTCAAAACATTATCAGATCTGTCAAGGTATTCCTGACATGCCATTTTCTTTATTTTATGATTCATTTTCAGCTTTGTGTTTCACACTAATATTGATTCTCCTTCGAGAAAATGTTATCAACATCATCATCGATAATATTACTCGTGCTTGTCTTTCATACGACGTCCACAGCGCTAGCTTGTCTCGGTAGCCTTCCACGATCGGAAGAACAGATTTATATTTTTTTATTGTTTATAGTCGAAAATCTGACGAAAGATAATGGCTGGACTTTGAAGCGAGAGACAAAAGAGGTTGTGGATGATGGTCTTCAAAATCTCAACAAGGACATTAGAGATAACGTGGCTAGAGGTCTGTTTGGTAGGTGAATAGTGACAAATTAATAAACGGTGGATATTTGGTTTCTCAATTTCAAAATTCTCGAGGGATAGAATCTGTGCATATCGCTTTGAACGTTGTCCGATGAGAAAAGAAAATTGTGTCAGCTATTGCCATTAGATGACTGCTGTGATGCCTGAAATTTACTTAAACTTTGGTCAGGACTAGCTCTATTAAAGAATCAATTTTCTAATGTCCCAATATACAATAACTTTGTTTTGATCTTATGACTTTAATAGGAAAACTTTTTGTGATGTTAGGGTTATAAGTTAATTTCGGAACGTTAATGTCATGAATCAAATATTCGTCTCTTTTATTGAATGCCAGGTCGAACAATTTATGGAGTCTCGCATCGATTACTTTAGTATTGACAACATTATTATTATAAACCAATTAATTCAAAACACAAAGTGATAATGTAATGAGCGCGTATACTGTAAATTTCATGTTGCACAAAGTCAAACTAAAAATTTTATTATCAATAAAACACAAAGAAATGTAAAAATTATTTCAATTTATTTCATAATATACCCTGAGACCTGTCTCTTGTTATTACGAGCCTCGCGGTTGACTTACCGCCGCGGTCTTGCAGCTCGAGGCGGGTTTCGTCGCGGTTGTGGCGGCTGCGCCATATCGACCCTATAAAGCAAACTTAAATAAATATCTAACCTCTATCAACATAAAATTTTACCAAAAACTTACCGCCTTCTGTTCGAACTTTGTGGTCTCGCAGCTCGAGGTGGGTTGCGTCTCGGCTGAGGTGGCTGCACCACAATTTCCCTTTAAAGCAAATATTATTAATATCTTACAGTACTATTACCAAACTTTTTTTAATGATAGATGACGTCACAAAACTTACTGATTCCTCGTATCAATCGATGCTTGCTGGGTCGAGGAGTCTGATGCTTGTGATGGAGGTGCTATTTCAAAAAAGAAAAGTTTTACTTTAGCCAAAACGCGTCATAAAAAGTATTGTATGTCGAGAGTGTTTATTTTCACCTAGTTTACCTTGATTGTCTCGCACCACAGCTCTTCTTCGCCCTGGCCCTCTAGGTGGATAATCAACCACGGGCGGGAGGGAAGGAAACATCCCTGTTTGAGAAATAACAATACTTGTTTAAATTAAAGAAAAACAAAAAACGAATAAATAAATTTAACACGTTTATTTATCTTACCCCGTTGAGGAGGATGATTTCCCCGAGGCACCAAAACAGGTCTATTTCGTGGAAATAACCTATTCATGGCATTAGTCGCCCTCAAACCCCACGGTGTAATAGGGTGAGAACGTCTTTGCAGCGTTACGGAGACGTAGTCCGCTGGGCGGTTCATTGCCAAATTGAACCCCCTGAGACTAAGTTCCAGCCTCCGCTCTCTTGCATAGAAAGCTTGAGGAGCAATATGCTCCTCACGCTGCGATATCCAATGAATAGTTACCTGCCTTCGGTTTTCCCTTTCCTCCTGACGCATTCGCTGGCTATACAAATGCCGGCGCGAAAATCTTCTGGTTTCATCCCACCTCGGCAGGTCTCTCCACCGCTGATAATCTTCGAGGCGCCTCGAATAGGCCCGGCGCCTTGCGTTAAAGTGACGGCTCGTCTGCCAGTCACAGTACGCTAGATGTAGACCTAAAAAAAAAACTGTAAAAAAAAGAATAGAAACGTATGGTTGGTAGTATTCCTGACCCGCAGGAATAGCACCGGTTAGCCAAGAAAATACGACCAAACTAATTAATGCGACCAGCGCATTAAAATGTCGCCTCCTAATGGAAGCGACAGCGACTTGGACTTGTTCTCCGTCCCTCGCCAGTCGTGCTGACACAACAAAACTCGGAACGAAGAAAAAAACTTGGGCGCTTGTGTCGTATGCCATTGTAAAAGTGCGCTTGTTATCTTTCGCAAGGTAAAAAGCGTAAAGCGCGTTATCTTGTTTACAAGGGCCTTTTATTATTTTTAGAGTTCACGTGATCTTCCTGATTTGAAAGACGTGATTAGCGCGTTACTATTACGTCAACTACTGCGTAACATTAGAACAATTGACTAGTTTCTATAATTTCTATTGGCAATAAATAATATTACGTCATACGTTTTGCTCAATCAACTTAATAAGCCGCAGATTTTTACTGTGATGCCCAATGTTATTCTAAGTCTAATAGGTAAGTTGTTAGAAGTTTATTTAGGTATTAATGAAAGTGATTGTTCCAAATAATTTTTCTTAATTAAATATCGCCTTTCGCGTTTTAGCATTAAACATATGCTTGCATAGTATCGGAGTTTCTGTCATGTTGCCGCATGTAATGACAAAATTTAATGTCCATATCAACAAATTATTTGTAATTTCGTGAATGATAAGATTCTAGTACAACCTCCTCGTTATTTTTTGAATGGATCAATTTTCAGTGAGATTTATCGCAAAACTTCAGTTGTCCGGAATTTTTTATTAATAGCGTCCCAAACTCGTTGCTGATAATAATACCGTGTGTCCTTCATTGTTACTAGATTTGAAAAAGACATAAAGGTACATGTATTCAGTTTTCTATAATTGGCAAGAGTGGGCGTAGGCAATGTTCTCACGGTTACAGATTTTCCATAATAATAAGACATCCAGACGACCGCTTAACTATTAACATGTCACCAAGTTTGTGTATGCGGTATACGTCCCAGGCACAGTTGAAATTATGGAATGGCTAAGATATTGTAGAAAAAGAAGAGAGGCCAATCAAAGCCTATACACATTTGGGTTTTGCATAGTGGATTTTCTATTTCTGGTAAAACACCTGACTGAATGAACGGAAACATCTGTAGTTAAATAATTTGCTCCCCTGTTCAACAACGCTATGTCCACGACTTGTTTTCTTGCGACAAGTTTAAGTTTATTATTGATATGTGAAAGGAATTTATAGAATTGTGGTGACGTTAGTCACATTAATTACAATAACCTTTAATTTTGCGAAAATTCATGAAAAACAAAGCAGGTGCGCTCTTTTTTATTTCAAATAATAAACAAACGCGGCTTGCGATTTTCTGATTCCTAATTACATTCTCGAAACATTCTGCTTTAGACGTTCTACCGTAAATTAGCCTTGAAATGGTATCCTGGCCGCTGTATCGAACGTTGAATGTCTGTTATTATTACTTATGTACCGATGTTTACAATTAAAGTATTTATAATTTACTGCTTATGTGTTAATTGGTGTTGGAGACGTGTATTGGAAAACGTGTGTGTGTATACAAGAATGATTAAAATATATAATGAGTGGTAGTATCACTATTAGTTGTTTTTGTCAGTGATGGAATCTTCCCCCTTCTATCTCGTTTATCTCTTGCTTGTAATTTTTTTTTATCTTCTTCGAACTTAGCGGGTTTATAGGTAATCAGTTTTACTCCAAATAGCAGTAAAACAAAGAAAACCACGAAAACGGACTTTAGCTGGCCTGTCACCATGTTTCACCCCAGACGTTGAAAGACATGTGTAAATTTTTTACGCGGTTACATATGACACGAAAGTTTATTCGCATATGGAATGTGTTATAAGTTTTAAATGACACGTAGGAAAGTTTATTTCAATTAGGTTGATCAAAAAGTCACATTCAAAGTATCGTTATTCAAATTAGTTAACTTACAGCCTCACATAATAAAATGTTCAAAGTTAGCGTATATGTTGATTATTCAGTATGAAAAAGGATGTCAACGTCCCTCCCTTTTATTATTAAAAGCATGATTAACGTTTCGATTTGTCGAATTGCAAAGATGATTCTCTGTAAGGAATCGAATATTGCCCGAACTCAGTCACTGAGAATGTGCCTGTCGAAAATATGTCGAGATTTGATAACTGCGCGATAAAGTCGATTTCGACATAACTGCTCAATTTAAAGCGGAGTCGACCTTAAACATGAGTTCTCCAAGTGTTATGGTTTGCTCGATACCACTCAATAGACTAGGTGATCATTTATCGAACATATACAGTGCAATATTGTCACACGCAAACTGGACATCTTGATATTTGATAATCTTAACAACTGCTTTTTTTTTGGTTAGCCTTTAATGTTAATATAATTATACAACAACTAATACGATTCCCAAAGTCTCCAGGCTTTTTTACTAAACATGAGTAGATTTGGGACTTTGTTTCGCGTGACCACTTACGGTGAGTCGCATTGCAAGTCCGTCGGGTGCATCGTAGACGGATGTCCACCAGGACTACCACTGGTTGAGAGTGATATTCAGAAACAGTTGAACAGAAGGCGCCCTGGACAAAGTAACTTGACAACACCGGTAAGTGTAATGTTAAAATTCGTCTGTTAGGAAAGCAGGATTTTGATTTACTTTACATCCTTGCACAAAGTCTATTGATTTTACGACTTTCCCGTTCCTCATAAGCTAGCGCGACGAAAAGGATCAAGTGACAATACTATCAGGAACAGAATTTGGCGTGACGCTGGGCACTCCAATCGGTTTATCGGTTCCTAACCAAGATCAACGACCGCACGATTATACCGAAACTGACTTCTATCCAAGACCAAGCCATGCTGATTGGACTTATCTGCAGAAATATGGCGTAAAAGCTAGCAGCGGAGGTGGTAGAGCATCTGCCAGGGAAACAATCGGTATAGTCTGTCTCTTTCACAGTATTATGGATGTTTACAACGGGTTTACTGACGAATCATGGGTCGTGTTCTCTTATGTAGGTCGCGTGGCTGCTGGTACTATTGCCGAAAAATACTTGAAAATGGCTTACGGAGTAGAAATAGTTGCTTTCGTATCTTCGGTGTCAAGCGTGAAAATGCCGTTTCTTGAGAGTGATGGTGAAGACCTGTTTTCTGACGATTTCGCGCAATTTTTGAATTCCGTTACGCGTGATGATGTTGATCAACATATTGTAAGATGTCCCGACAAGGATGTTGCTGATAAAATGAGAGAGGTATGATTGATGGTTGAATATTGATCTAATCTACTTGAGCAAGGTCAGCCTTGCGATGCGTAATCACTATATCGTGTTTAAATTTTTTCTTGCTGAACAGCGTATTCTTGAAGCGAAAAGTAAAAGTGATTCGGTTGGCGGATCAATAACATGTGTCGTTCGTAATGTTCCGCCTGGGCTTGGGGAACCATGCTTTGATAAATTGGAGGCTGTGCTAGCCCATGCAATGCTTTCTCTCCCATCTACCAAAGGATTTGAGATCGGTAGCGGGTTTCGAGGTACCACGTTGTTTGGCCATCAGCATAATGACCCGTGGGTAATGGGAGCAGACGGAAAACTGGGAACAAAGACAAACCGTTCCGGTGGTATTCAGGTAAATTGATAGAAATTATGTACTAAATATTTGAGATTGATGAATTAACACCAAGTCATTCATCGTTACGCCAGGGTGGTATCACCAATGGAGAACATATATATTTCAGAGTAGCATTTAAACCACCGGCTACAATATCTCAACCACAAAATACAGCCACGTATGATGGTAAAGACGGCGTTCTTGCCGCTCGTGGTAGGCATGATCCGTGCGTACTACCAAGAGCAGTGCCAATTGTTGAAGCAATGACATCGTTGGTGCTTATGGAGTAAGTATGCGGCCAAGCTAGTGCAATAACAAGTTCATGTTGACATATATTCTAAACTTTTCTCTTTCTCTCAGTGCCGTGTTGATCCAACAGGCTCGCCATACTGCAAGAAAACTCTTGCCGCCTATAACAACTCTGCCGCCTACTATGTTGGGAGCTGTTACCAAATTGGACAAGAATGAACAAGATGACGAATGAAGTCTATACTATATATCAATAGATTTACTATAAGACAGAATCAAACAGTTTATGATGAACAAAAGTAAATTTGAAACTGACATTTTATCAGTAATTTATTAATTCTATTGTCTATATTATCAGCAGTTAATATAACTGATATCAGTAATACGTTATACGTAAAGACAACATTAGAGCTCGTCGTGTGAATCCGGGGTTGGAGAACTTTGTGTTTCGGTGGGGGCAGTTTCTTCCTGAGTATCTGATGAACTTTCCGACTCCTTAGCTGAATCTTCGTCTGAACCCTCGTCTGGTGGTGGAACTGTGGTTGCTTGTGCCTTGGGCTTATTTGGCCGCTTTTTTCCCAATAATGCCTTGACACCACGATCTACTTCCAGATACATGTTTTTTATATCGGCCACAGTTATACTAGGCTCATCCCATGATGGAATCTCGGACTGTTTAGCAAGTCTATGATTGAGATGCTCCTCAGTGCTATCACAGAGGCGGGTAAGTTCCTGAAGTTCTTCATCGGTGTGATACCGTTCATCTTCACTCATGCCGGTTATCTTTGTGACCAACTCACGGGCTGCTTGGATTATGCCTCTGGCGGCCTCTACTTGCTTTGGTCTTTCTAACAGCTCTGTTCGTCTCATTGCTATTGGTTTTTCAAGCGCTCTGATTATACAGAGATTTGCTATGAATATAACGCTTAAATCATCCATCATGAACAAGACAACACGCGTTATTACTCACCGAAGATCTGCAAGTCGTGATTTTAACTCTTCCGTTGGCGCTGTCTCGCCATCCTCATATAGCCAATCAGATATTTTCGACAGTTTATCTGCCAATTCATTTCTCTGATCGTCATTACTCACTTGAATAACCAAATCATCGTAAAGGAAATTCTGAAGACTATATGTAAACGCCTCGAGGCTATTTCTAGCTTCCTCACGTGCTTTACGTATTTCATCGGCTTTATCCATAACGTGAAGTCTTTTTGGTAAAAGTTCAAAATGAACGATAAATTAATCATCTACCGTTTACGTGTTTACGTGATACCGCAGTGTCATCTTGTTGAACTTGCCTGGTAATAATTGATTGCTTTTCGTCCTCCTTCATAGGTGGAATCCCAATATATTCAACGTCTAATTTTAGACCTATTGGCTCCAATTTCGTCTGAGCTGTATCCTGCGTCTCGGGTGTGCCCGAAGATGCCGTTGAGTTTTCAGTCGCATCGTTAGAATCATTCGCACTTTCCTAGAATTATATAGATATGAGTGCTATAAGCATAGCAAGGTTGTTTGCTGATATCAATTATAATCTACCTCGGGATTGGGAACTTCTTTCACTGTTTCGTCTGTGTCATTAGAATGTATTCCAAAAAATGATTTAAATTTATCTAATAATATTATCAACATCATTAAAGAAACATATTAAAAGCACTATCTGTAATCTAAGACGAACACAATAGATAATTTACCTGTTAACGAGGGTTCATCGATTTCGGCAAAGGCCTCACTGATAGTAACCAAACCAGAGTTTGACAACTGTATACCAGCTCTAATTTTATGCTTGGCAGCGGCATTCGCGTCTTTGAACTGTGCTAATGCATCGGCTAATCCAGAGACTTTGGCCAATGCAATTTCCGTAGGGTTAACGTTCGTCTCACTACCAAGGACATGTTTGTATTTCAAGGTGAAATCAAAATCGCTCGTTCGCTTGAAGTTCACCAGCTTACGTGCGCCCAACGGCGATTGGTCTTTGAATACTGTATTAAAGACTTTGCTTTGCGATGGATCTGAATAATAAAAAACAATATGTTGGACATACAAACAAGTAAGTACCTGAACTAGTTCACGAAATACGTACGTACACTTGTCAGATCGTATCGTCAAAGCTTGATAAGCCAATGCTATGACAAAGGGAAAAAGTCAATTTCTGTTCAAAATGACTTGGTTTGATTGTCACATCGGACATGTAAACTTACAAGTTAATGTTAATTCTCATTAAGCTGAAGCATTAGGGATATGTATTACGCAAAGTTATCGGCTTATCAAGCTTTGACTGTGCTGAGAAGCGAAACTTATCCGTACCATCGGGAGTTTCTTGTGGTTCTGGTGGATAACCAACTTCAATTGCATACGGAGTGATATCTTTAATTCTAACCTCCTGGCCTCTAAATCCGCGACTCAACGATGCCGCTCGGAACACAGCTCCTAATACATACAAATGCGGTACAATCAATCATACTATCATATAAGAATCGGCAAACATATGCAATTACCTAAAGCAGCAGCTTCGTCTCCGTTCACACTACGTGCGATCTTATCCCTGATAAAAAATCGACAAATTAGGCTTGCGTTACTAAACACAAGGTAGAAATTAACGCCAAAAAACTTACTCTCCTACAGCGTTATTCAACGCGTTTTGTACGGCGGGGACACGTACACCTCCCCCAACCACGATCACAGCCTGTATATCCGCCTAAATTTAAGATCAAATCATGAGAATTCCTGTTTCATATTAGCAAAAAAACAGCACTACTTACCAATGTCATTTGAGCTTTACTCAACGCAATTTCAATAGGTTTATTTACACGGACCACCAAATCTTCAATCAATGATTCGAATTCTTCTCTAGTTATACGAATGCGGAAATCAAGATTTTCATGCAAGTTTTCGACCTATACGCGCGTGAGAAAAAAAACAAACCATAAGCTACTCCATCCGTAACACGTGCTCGTTTCAACTATATTTCCTTTTCACTAACCGAGGCCACAGTTGCTTTATTTGCACTTAGAATCTTTTTTACTCTGTTGGCTTCTTTAAGTAATTTGATCATTGCCCTCGGTGAACTAAACACGGAAGTTGTTAATTTGTCCTGGTACGCTTTCTCAAATTCGGTTGCCAGATGTTTGCGTAGCCTCATATCGAATGCCTGACCACCAAGCGTTCGATCATATCCGATTGATTTGACTTCCAGATCTACCGCAGTTCTATCATATCGACCTTCCTTGACAACAACTCGCTTAAAAGATATCAAGCTTGCGACTGTATTTCCAGCTCCCATGTCATAATATATATAGTACTGGGGTTGTTCCGTCAACGATTTTGCACGCGTCGATATGTAATTAAGGGCAACTGAAAAGTGAAATTACGTTACTCAATATGCAAATTATTGTAATGTAATAATAACATTCTAGTGCCATCAATATTGAAACATTATATCATGTCATAAAGTTTCTCACCAGCTGTTTCATCATGTATCAATTCAAGCACATTCAGATCAGCTAAATTCGCAGCATCCAGAATAGCTCGGCGCTCAAATTGGTTGAAGAACGGAGGAATCTTGTTGCAATTTGACGTTATATAAACGACGAGATGTTAGATAAAAACGTGTCAATTGATCTCTGTCAAAGTCACCACGAATCGGCATATTTACCGTTATGACAACATCTCTGATAGTTTCCCCCGCTATATGTTCAGCTTGTGCTTTTGCACGAGAGAACAGCATAGCTATTAGCTCCTCGACACCAAAAACTGTTGTATCATTGTGTTGAAATGCAACAGTATTTCGTATGGGATCTGCAATCATTTTATTGTCAAACATTTCCCGATACTGCTTGGCATCTTCGTCATCAAATGTTTTCCCAATGACATTCTTCAAGCTGAAATATGTGTTTAACGGATACCGTAATCCCTATGTATAAACATGATGAATCACGTGAGCTTTCATACAAAACATCCCCCTCACACTAGTATGTCAGTAAGACACGACTTGTTCGCCTCAGCATATTACACATACAAGAGCGTAGGAATCGAGCCCATACGATCTCACGTCACCGCGCACAGTCAATATCGATGGTGTTTTTCTTTTCGAGTCACTATTCAGTACGATTTCAAGCGACTGTGCCGGTCTAATTAAACCCACTTTGAACCAGTCCGTGCCATAGTCTATGGACATGAGTGCAGCCTCACATTCACATATAAAAATAGTTGAGAGCGCTATCAGCAGCAGAGTGCCGATAACACTAGATAAAAGTCCGTTTACGCGCATGATGAGTTAGAGTGATTGCATATCTGTTCACCGAATTGAATTCGATTTATACAAGAACCTTTCTCGTTTTTAACGTTGTGTTGTTTGATTTTGATTGGCTGATACGAATAGACAGTTGGAAATGCCTATCAGCAAGCAGGGTTATCATTATCATTATCATTATCATTATCATTATTATTATTCTTATTATTATTCTTATTATTATTATTACTGCTATTACTACAAACTTTGTCAATACATACGTTTGAAATGAATTGCAGAAATTACGAAGACAGCCACGGACAGGTGATAAAGAAGTAAGTCTTATGATAACACATTTCACATTTGTATTCGGGACAATACGCTAACAATTACAAGTTCTCTTGACATTCCTCACGTTATGCAGGAAGACTCTTTTGACTGTGGACTCGCTTGTGTCTGCATGATATTACGCGGGTTAGGACAGCATGACATTACGGTAGCCAACATGCATGAGGCAGTTTCCATGTCGACGAGTATTTGGACAATAGACCTGGTAAGCTTTTGCAGAGAAACATGTGACGGGGAACGTTCAAGCCGAGAATTCTCTGATTTTGTTAGACAACTTTTACAACGGAATTGTATTAGAACAAGTATTTTAAAAGCAAGCCTTTTTTCATATTCACTAAACTATAAACTGTTCTAGCCAGTAGCACTGGAAATTAAAACGTATTCTCGTTTCTGTCACACACAATTAACCCCGTTTTCCACAGGCCTTTCTCTTACGATCCTATGCACCGGATTTGGATTTTACATTATATACATCCTTCACAGGCGCGAGAACACAGCATCGAACGAGTAAATTCTATCGTACATGTACTTAAGACACTGTTTTGATACTGTTAATAAGCACACATTTTTAGTGAGGAATGAAAGTGGCGTTGATTGAGACTGGATACATTCCCCTCTCTTTTCTTTTTATCTTGTTGTGCGTCGACCATAAGCGTTCGATGAAGACGAGCAGAGGGTAAATCATTTATTTGACATTGCTCAGGATTCTCGTGTAAAGACTGTGAGAATGTATGTATGATGTCTGCGGTATGATCGATGCGATTTTGATTCCTAATTAAATTGTGTTTGTGAATAATAGGATATTGTCATTGGATGACTTTCGCAAGCTCCTTCGCTCGTCAAGCTTTACAATCATTGCTCTGGTAAATTCCAGGTTAATACGATGTCGATTGTGTCAGGTGAATGTCGAAAATTGCCATTAAAGAGAGAAAGGTGCTTCTTTAGAGTTGGTATATCAGTTTAAAGTTGACATTCTTTACGTATCGATAATTAGCAACATCAATTATGTTATCAACCGCTTCTTGAAGTATTTAATTCTTTTCTAGAATTCTGGAACGGTAACGGTTATGCAGGTATGTGGCGTGAATGTCTTTTTTTTTTTCACTGATTACCCATTCCATTACGAGATTCTCATTTTTCAACCAATTGTTTAAAGGTCACTTTATCGTCCTCGTTAGCTTTGATCCAAAAACCGACTCATTCATTTATAGAGATCCTGGCGTTATCGATGAAGATTGTATGATTACTGCGAGAAATTTTGAAGTTGCTCGTCGATCACCCGGAACAGATGAAGATTGCATAGTTATCAAGCTGTTGTAGAAACTGATATTTGTCAATTTTGTATACAGCGTCGGTATAATAATAATAGAAGAACACACTAAAGTAATTCTAATAACTTCTCATACTTTTTTAATGCATTTAAGTCAACATTAATTACAAAATAAATTCTCTTCACCCCCCAAGAATAGACAAATGTTTTTTTAAATTCCTTTTTTTATACTAGCGTTTATCATATACAAAGACGAACATTCCTCATCAACTACCATAGAATCATATATTATTATAATTTGATAATACCTATATGATTAATATTCCTAAACTTCCTGGTCCTTAATTTCTTACAAATGCGTGCTCTGACTAATACCAACGCTCTTTCTAACGTCATCAATCAAACCTTCCGACTTAAGCTTATGAGCACGGATTTCGGCCACGAAATCATCAAATAAGTATTCGGTGTCTTCCGGTCCACCCTTTGCTTCAGGATGGAATTGCACACTCTTTATTGGAAGACTGACGTGTCGGATACCCTCATTGGTTCCGTCATTCGCGTTGACAAAGTATTTCATCCAACCCTTAGGCATAGCCTCATCCATCAAACAATAACCATGATTCTGTGATGTAATTGCACACAATCCCGTCGTCTGGTCTACAGCAGGAACGTTATGACCACGATTTCCGAAGCGCATTTTGCGTACGCCCATGCCGGCCGCCATACCGAGAAGCAAGTTGCCCATACAGATTCCAAAAATGGGCTTGTTGAATGTAGCAATGGCGGTACGCAGATTTTGAACGGTAGTTGATACAGTAGTAGGGTTACCAGGTCCATTGCTGATAAAGAGACCATCAAAACGATGGGCTACACTATTGAAATCAAAGTCCCATGGTAATACCGTGATCGCAGCTCCACGTGAAACCAATGAGCGAAGGATATTATGCTTAACACCACAATCAATAACTGCAATATTGATATCGCCGTATGGGTTATAGGAGACGGGTTCCTTGGTACTAACTTCGGCAACCAGGTTCCTAGTATTCGGATCTATGAACTCTGCCTTGTCTAAACTCGTGTTAACGGCATCATCGCCAACGTCTACTCTAGCCAGAGTTGATCCTTGATTACGCAACAGATGCACGATTGCTCGAGTATCGACACCGCTGATGGCGGGGATATTGTGCCTAGCGCACCATTCGCCCAAAGACTCTACTGCTGTCCAATGAGAATAATGAGTGGCGTAATCATTGACGACAATGCCTTCACATTGGATGCTATCAGATTCGAACGAGCGCAACAGGCCGAATCTGTCTTTCTTGAGGCCAGGTATACCGTAGTTTCCAATGAGTGGTTGAGTAAAGACGAGAATTTGCCCCCGGTATGAAGGATCGGTCATTGACTCGGGATATCCCACAAGAGATGTGGTAAAGACTGCTTCGCCGGATACAGCGGTCTGGGCACCGAATGAGATGCCATTGAATACTTGTCCGGTCTTTAGTTTCAATGCCGCTGGAATGCGCTTCGCATTATATTGTGGGGCAGACGATTTCGGAAACGTATATGCACTGTCGGTGACAGTCGCCAAGCCGCGGACCGTTATGGCACGGAAGACTGTGTTGCCAGGAAGGGCAATCTGTGAAAGTGCTTTGCGAGAGAGCATTTTTTCTTTTTAGGAAACGGAAAATATAATAATTGGGTAATTAAGTGAAGGGCGCAGAAAGGTCTTCTTGATGGGGGAATATTTAGTATGCGGTAGAAGTCTTCCAAACTGTATTAATGTTTTAAAAGAAACAAAGTGAATTGAGTTGAGTAAAAGAGCTTTGGCAATGATATGATATACTTGAATGTTGACAATGATATGATATGGTGAATGTCCGCACACTGTCTAGCAAAAACCATGTTCACTATCTATTTAACTAGTTACCTTGATGGGCCAGATAATCTGCTGATGTGGTGGTCGAGTACAAGTTCATTAATAGCGTCAATGGAGGAAAACTGGAATGAGAAGGCCAACTGGTTCTCTTATACTTGGTCAAGATGAATAAACCGCAACAAGGCGAATTAGGTGGGAAAGATGGAATGAAATAGTGTAATGTGTAATTGTATCACAAGTCGTTATCATGGTTTTTGTAATATATTGTTAATAAAGTTCATAGTACAATCTTTGAGATTGCGCCAAACGCAATCAAAAACTGATGGATTTCCATATCAGGGGTAGCACAGAATATTTTAGATGATCTCTTATCAGATCGATGAATCTCACGTATATTTATGGTATTATAGTAACATTAGAATGCGCCAAAGATGATATGACGAAAAAAGAGATACAGATGGTCCCATCGCATCACGAATACGCCGTAACTGTGCAATCTGTGTAAACCACAATATTATTATTACCTGCATTATGTGATTAGATCAATTCCGCCTTGACTTTATCAGATGGTTAATCAACCTTTCTTTTTACACAAACGATCTTTTGTTTGGCACCTGCAAACTGTGGGCAATCCCACCCCTCTGGATCTTGCCTTCAAAGCATACCACGATGATTGTCCAAATATAAGGACGGAGATGAAGTTACCTTCAAAAACATGCATATCGAAAATCAAAAGTTCCCAAATTGAAGTTTCTATTAATTTTTTGTAACCATTAATTGGTTCCATCTCACATTATCACATGCCCACCTTTTTTCGTAACATGACTACTTCCTTATTGGATGGACAGAGAATGCTTGGCTTCAAATATACAGGCGCACTCTTTTGCAACGAAAATATCATAATAATAATAATCTGTTTTATCGCACAATCATGTGGTCACACGATTTCCTAATTTTATATACCAAAAACTGCCAAACTACCCGCGCTAGTATCTGTCAAGTTGAATGGATTTTGATTGTTTGACAGTGTAGACGTTGAGGGGGTGAGCAAGACATGTATTTTGGTAGTTGATTCCTCTTGACCAGTGAGGTTGGAAGTAGTCTTTGATTTCTTTTTCTTGTCTATCACGCACACGGTCAAGTTTCGTTAACCAGTGAATGAAATCGACTCTTTAACAGTTATTAATGTGTTTCATGCCACGACCAAACGATTCAGCAATTTCTGCGTTAATAAAATGGTTTAAATTTAAATTTTCTTTTGCAATCCTGTCAATGAAGTTATCCGTTTATGCGGTCGAGTTAGGGTCTTGATTTTTGCCGGCATAAAGTGAAGATTTTTTACATAATATAAAGTAAAACTGCAATTTTTTGGCGTAGTAAAATTAGCCGGACCGGTATAAACAAGCCCATACAACAGTGATAGCTCCCAACAATCAGTATATATCAACACGTAAAGCACGTGGCTTTAGCAAAACATGTTCTTTCCAAACTGGCAAAATAAATTGAGAATGAAGTCTACAACAAGTTTTCTTCAGCCAAACTACCGGGTCGGAGAGAACGATAATTTCTTGCCAGAACTAAGGCAGAGGTTATCTCAACAACAACAGTCTCTGAAAACAATACCAGGACAAGTAACTCATTAGTACATATAAGCGACGAGTGAGTAGTCCTAGAACATATGAAAACATGTTATTATTAAGATAACAAGTTTGAAACAAATGCTCAATAAACTTATTATTATTGGTACGAAAACATTCCAACTCTCAAGTGTCTCATGATAAATAATATCGACTTGTCTGGTAGAATGGTACCGTTCATGCCATGGCGGCAATCACCACTGACGAGCTTTTCCTTTCGTATATTCAATTTGATGACACAATCAAAGCGCAATAAATGGATAGGTAAGGAAGGTATTATAATTCGTCAATTGTGCAGTGCGAACCGTTCAATCCCACATTCTCTTTCTCGGCTGACTAAGCTACTAATCGACATAAAGGGGGTAGAAATAGCCTTGAGAATACACCCACGTACGATCGTTACCAACCAGTAGATCCTCGATTGGTAATGACATTATGTGAAACTTTTATTTGTCCGGATTCAGAGTTTCTCACACGCGCTCAAACTCAATTTCTCACGGAATATTCGAGAATGCAGCCGTTTAATGAACGCAAAGACGCCAAGGCGAAACGAAACAGAATTATAAGCTACCCGGTTCCGCATATATGCAGTCGCTGGTATCCTGTTTGTGTCTCCACAGAATAAGCTGTGAAGTAAATAATGACTGTAAATTTTGTTATAGGCACTAGATACGCTTGCCAAACATATATGAAGGCCGTCCAGATTAATTTATAGACACATATGAAATGGACTTTTAACATCTACTGTATATCATTAAAAGTGTTCTTACAACCAGAGCAGCACTAAATAGATTGTTTCTTATCCACATTTTCCCAAATTGTCAGATACTCCGTACGACTTTTCTTATCGGTTGCCGTAGATAGTTCGCTTCAATATATATAATTTACCTCTAAATGTTATCAGTCATAATATATAAAGCCATTCGTATACGGAACGGTAATCTCATCACTTGATTTCGGCTGATGGGAAATCATAGCCGAGGGCGAAAATCGCAAAAAAGAAAAAACAACGGCGAATTTATGTTCGGCAACCAGAACGGCTTGAAAATTGTAAAATGGAATAGGTGTGGGTTAAAACATTACAGTTAAGTTCACGTGATGTTATATCATGCAGTCCTTGTTCGGAAAGTCAAACGAGAAATGGAGAATCAATAAAAAATATTACAAAGACGACATTCAAAGTAAATTCTACTACAAGCATATTACAATTGACACTCGTTCTTTTTGTTTTGATGATAAAATACATTCCAATACAACTATTATTTCTATGACAGTAGTAATCGGTGGAACTCTCTTTCTAATGATCAGCACAATGCGAGCATGCGTGACCGGAAGGGTGCAACTACAGACGCGAAAGAATATATCCTTTGATCATTAGATATAGATACTTACTCACACGGTATGCCACCCATACACCATGAATAATATCTCTTAAACGTACATTTTTATTATAACGCCTCGGTCCAGCAGACTGTTTATTCGTATGATTTACAGAATCACCCCCAACAAATGCCCAAAAAAAGAGAATAAACTTTCTATCATTTACTACACTCGATTTCGTTTCTTTAATATCGTATCCTCTCAAACGCGTGCGTTCGGCAAACGCCTGTATCGGCTTTGAGCATAAACCTTTTTCACCACTGTCAAGAAATAAACTCCAAGATGAAAAGCACGCTCAAGTAATTTAGCGGGTAAGTGAAAGTCGATCTATTGAAAATTATTGGACAGTGGTACGTCTTTACTAATAACCAATTACTCTTGGTATGCCTTTGCCATCAATTACTCTCGGTATGTCTTTACTATTGACGATTACTCTCAAGTGAATTAGCTCATAATCCTAGTCAATCGGGGAAGGATACTGTCTCATGTACTGTGAAACTGAAATTCGATCCTACTTCCATTCGCCTCTGATTCAAATAAATCATAAGTTCACGACTCTCTGATGTCGTCGCACGAAGTTTAAATACCCTCAGCATAGGGATAGCCTTGAGCCATGAAACAAAATCAAATCTTTCAAGATGTTTGCAATAAATTCTCAACTCTTGCAGCGTATTCTTCTGCGTCAGCAAAGCGTTCATTATTTCGCTCCCATGCCTGAATAATTGTCCATCAAATGTAAACACTTTTAATTCTTTCTGAGCCTTGATGAGAACAGCAATACGAGACTCCAGACTAATTGGAGCATACAGAGTGTCAGGGAAATAAAGTCCGTCCACAACTATTTCCAAAGATTTGAGATGACGCTGACATTGAGAGGCTACATATAATGTATGAAACGCTGATGTTGTTTGAAAACAAGCCCAGTTTTCAAGGCCGAGATGCGATAGTTGTCTTGCATTTGCCAGCAGCATGTGTAAAAAACGAAGCGGTTTGACATCCAGTAGATGTGGCATTCCTTCCCTTCCCTGATTGTAAGCTCTAATTGCATTCCAAAGTTTACCACACGATAGCGATTGAAGATAGGACGGATAGTCAAATAATGGAAGTTCATATACTTTTGGAGATTGACAATCGTATTCAGGGAGATAGGGCAGATATATCGATATCAGCTTGAAACACGACGACTCTTGGCAGAGATCGAACGGTTGTTTGTATAGTATTGGTACGGCAATCTTGCAAAGTCCCCTGCATGTTAATGAACAAACAAAGAGTGTACCCAAGTCGACTTCTGAGGACTCGAGTACGCTCACAAGTATTTCCATGGGAAGAGTTATTGTCATTAATGATAGTAGCAAAGTGATATCATTCCACGCAAAACGGTGGAAACATTCAGTTTTCGACACACGTGACTTGTTATTCTGTCATACAGTTCCCACACTGTTTTTTTGAATTTCTACTTCTAATCGTGAAGACGTTATTTACTTGTTCGTGTACATATTAGTCATTGTTGTCACCTTCCCTGCCGTATTACCCATAGATCAAATGAACGTTGTTCGAACCTGTTGCGCATATTAATATAGTAGATAACCCTCCCTCTTGAACATTCTTAGGATTCGCCTTATCAATGAAAGTGCTCAATAGAACATAGGGACTTTTTCACAGCTTTTTTTTTTTTGCAACTCGTCTCACATTAGCATTAAATCAAATAGAAGCGATGTAATTCTGGAAAGAGAACTATTATACGTCTCGTTAGTATTTAACTTTATATTCATTTACAAAACGTCAGCTTAATCATATAAATATCACGGTATCGATCTGCCCAAAATATCCCATAATGTTGAATACTGTTACACCAAAAAGCCAAAAAATTTAATTAATGGCGGCGATTACTTTGTCAATTAGCAGATAAAAGAATGGACGACAAATCCCACAATGATTCAACGGATAGACAGCTGTTAATACTATATGGAAGTCAGACAGGTTGTGCGCAAGACTCTGCAGAGAGGACAGCGAGGGAGGCAAGAAGGAGACATTTTAGAGTTCGAATATTCGCTATGGATGAATACGATAGAGTAAAGTTTTTGATCTATCACATTGGGCAAATAAGCTTTGCGTGTGATATTTAATTCGTTTCTATTGACAGCACTTCGAGTTGACTTTATCTAATTTGTCTCATCGATAAACCTCTCAACTTTGTAACGTAGACAAAACTTATAAACGAACCACTCGTTATTTTTATATGCTCAACGACTGGGCAAGGTGATGAACCTGATAATATGAAGGTATTTTAACCGAAATGTATCTAATAAACTATTCAGTCACGAAGTTTCCTTTCTGAACGAATGCTTTGCGTTTATAATTAGACTGATACTTCGTCGTCGGTTATTAAGATGACTTTCTCACTGAGCCACGTTGCCAATTGATAGAAATTTTGGAAATTTCTTTTGCGAAAGAACCTTCCTAACGACATTCTTAACCAAATGAAATTCACCGTGTTTGGGCAGGGAGACTCGTCATACATAAGGTACCAGCTTGCATAACCTTAATAATGTATTGGGACACGACTCATTGATACATCCATCTCTGTTATCAGGTATAATTATCCGGCGAAAAAGCTTTGGAAGCGTCTTCTGCAACTCGGGGCAGAAAGCATTTATCCAAGAGGTGATGGGGATGATCAACATTTCCTCGGGTGAGCAGTATTGCCTTTATTGATACGTGTTTGCCTTTTTTTTTCTTTTCTTTTTGCGAGCATATCTTTAACCAAATCTCTAAATAGTCAAGACGGAGCATTTGACCCGTGGATTCAAGGTCTATGGGACGTGTTGATGAAGATGTACCCCTTGCCAGCTGGAGTGGATATTATTCCATCTGAGGATTTATATCCTTTCGTTTCGCCAGAATCAACCCATGGCTATGATCACTATCAATGACTTTAATTGTTACCATCCTTGACTTTTTAAACCCACGCCACCTCCAAGTTTCCGTATTGAGTTTATTGACTCTGGTGTTCCATTATCCGACGAGTCTACTGAGTATGAGTATACCGTACGGTTGGCCTCTAATCAAAGGATTACGGCAACTGACCATTTTCAAGATGTGAGGCATTTGGAGTTTGCTATTGAAGAGCCTTTTATAAGGTAGACGCATTTTTAACAATGTGAGTTTGCTCAATACTCAAGATCTAACCATCGTCTAGTTATGATCCGGGAGATATTATGGTAGTGAGGCCTAGGAACCTGAAAAAGGATGTGGACTCGTTTCTAGAAATGATGAAATGGACAGACATTGCGGATAATCCATTTGTCTTGGTGCCGAATCAGGAAGGTTATTATCGCTGACCAGCACCCATCCATGTCGAACCTTATAGAAGCATTCTATTCACACATTTATTTCTCTCACAGATTACAAAATCCCAAAACATTGGGAATCAAGGTTAACTCTAAGATTACTATTTGAGAAATATTTGGATATTTTTAGCACACCGAGACGATCTTTTTTTGAATTTCTGTCGTATTTTACAACAAACGAAGATCAGACCGAGAAATTGCGTGAATTCTGTTCTGCTGAAGGCCAGGTAAATAATTGAGCGTGTCATGCCGGGTGTGCGTTTGAATTATAATTATTGATTAACGTTATTTTTAAGGACGACTTGTATGCGTATAATCAACGCGTCAGACGCACCATAGTTGAAGTCTTGCATGACTTTTCATCTGCAACGATTCCTATCAACTACATTCTTGATGTGTTTCCAATGATACAGCCACGGCAATTCTCTATATCGTCAGCAAGTAGTATGCATTCTAATGTAATACACTTAACAGTGGCTATTGTCAATTATAAAACGCTACTAAAATCTCCGAGAAGAGGTGTTTGCACTAAATGGATGGAAACGCTGGAGATCGGTATGTTTTCTATTTGTGCGAGCTATTACCGATAATTGATCAATTAGTTAAAGCAATTCATGCGTTCTAGGTTCTGTCATTCCATTTAACGTTATTAAGGGAACGATGAGACTTCCACGTGATTCAGGGATACCAGTAATACTAATTGGTCCTGGTGAGCAGTAAATAGTACATTGTTATAATTACAAGACAGCATTACCCAAGTTCGTTATAATTATAGGCACCGGAGTATCAGTGATGAAGGCGTTCATTGAGGATCGCATTCAAGTGGGTGCTACAGGTATTGCATCAGTCACAGCAAATTTTTATTACACATAATTGTTATTTCCAATATTGACTATATGCTCATTGCCTCAAATTTTGATCCAATAGAAAATTACCTTTTCTTTGGCTGCCGATATCATGATAAAGATTATTACTACAAAAATGAATGGGATACCTATGTTCGAGAGGGTCAATTAACAGTGTTTGTTGCGTGTTCACGAGATCAAGTAGGTCAAATACGACAGATATTTTGCATTTTATAACATAAGCGGACATCTGAACATTATTGTCATTTTTTAAAGGATAAAAAAATATATGTCCAGGACTTGATCAAACAGAATGCAGCCTTAATATGGAGACTTGTACATGATCAAGGAGGATATGTCTACCTATCTGGGTGAATATCGCAAACGTTTGTACGCACATGCAAACGCTACAGTGACTAACGTATTCTATTATAGACGATCCGACAAAATGCCAGCCGCTGTTATCGAATCGTTCATAGAGGTTTTTAAAAAGGAAGGAGACATGGATGATGATCAGGCTAAAAAATATTTCAATAGAATGGAAAAGAATAGACGGTTTCAACAGGAATGTTGGTCATAATAGAATCCCATACATTCTGTTGCCGCTATAGCTGTGATTAGTGATGTGCCGTCGATGGTAGCAAAATTGCGCCGAGTATTCTTCCAGCTGAGCACATAATACGGACGAACTCTAGATTTTTATTTAATTCCATTGAAAGAGACTTTCAGATGTATTGTACAAAGCAGACTTAACAAATGGTGGTCTATCCACATCTGTGGAAACCTGTGCAAATATGTTTGTCACAATTGTCAGCATTCCTTTATAACTTATATTCAACAAACCTTTTGATTGACGAAAACGCGTCTCGTACTAAAAAATGCATATTGTATTCACTTCCGAAGGGCTTGCCATTTATGTCCCCCCTCGAGCTATTGCGCGAATCATAATTCCTTTGTCAAATAGAACAGTAAAAACCTTCCCCTTTCCCCCAATTAATCAATTGACTTACATTTTATTGGCAATTAAATAAATACGAACATGTTCAAATTGAAAGGTTTTATCAACAAAATGATGAGACGTGCATCCTTGTCACTATTGAGTAAGTAATGGAAAAGAGATAAACCCCAAGTACATTATCGTCGGATATAAAAAACCGGATCCTCCAACACAAAATTTAGAGTTCCAAAAGTGCCAGATTGAAATATAAAGAAAAAATCGAATTGATGAGTTGCATCATGCCCGGTCGATTGAGCTAATTGTTTTTTTTTCCGAATTATTCTTTCGTTTTTGTTGGTAATTTTCTACCAAGGCCAGAGACTGAAACGGTTACATATTTACAGTACCAAAAATGAATAAATAATTTATTGATAAAAAAGTTTATCGTCGAGCCTCCTTTTCTGCTAATCACATCAGCCACCAGCGTTAGCCATCAAGTAATTCAACGCATTATAATTGCCGGCATTTGCTGCGGTCCTGAGATACTGAAGTCCGGCCTCGGCCTGTCCGATGCTCACTAGAATTTTACCAAACTCGTACTGTGCCTCATGATGGCCTTTCTCGGCAGCCGCACGAAAATGGTTCATACATTGTACCGGTTGAATACTGGGAAGACCGGGGTGATTGCTCATGAGGTACATACCCAAGTAGTAATGAGCCACCTCGCTACCTCGGAGCGCGTGTCCTCTGAAAATTGGATAGGCTCGGGCATACTCGTTTGCTTCATGATAGGCAAGTGCAACCTCGAGAGCGGGTAACTCGTCTGGGATGATTTCGTACTCTTCCAACTCTTCGGATCTGTCAACGTTATCATCATTCCTTTCTGCCTCCTGGAGATGTCTTTCCGTTTGTAGTGATGTCGTATCTCGTCGAACAATGCCTTGTCTCCGAGACTGATCGTAAAGATCGTAGAGCATTCTACAGGCATCTTGCATTCTCGGTCGAGACGATGGTACTGAATTCCAGCATTTTTCCATTACAGCTTGATATTCCGGCGGTGTATCTTCTACTGTGGTTGGACGACCACCGTTTTGAACGTACGTTAAAAGATCATTATATGTCTTGATTTCATAATATGGCCATTTATGTGATGCCAGTTCCCATAACAATATACCGAAACTAAGGCAATCAGACAAGTAGGGAAAAGAGTGACGATACAATCGTCATGACGTAAGTTAATTGCTCAAGAAACAGATATGTTTGTGGGTATGTGCAAATAAATACCTGTAGACGTCACACTTTCTCGTATATCGTTGTTGAGGATTAGACAGCTTTTCGGGAGCAGTCCACCTGCAAAATGATTAGAAATGACTATTCTCAAGGGCAACTCCAACACGTGCAATAAAAAACACATACCTTATCCTAATTGCTTGATCCCTAGCAGGCACAGAAACACCATCTTCCTTGCGGGAATATTCAAAATTGCTAAGCTTTGCTGTCATAGTCTCATCCAAGAGGATATTGGGACTCCTCACATCAACGTGAAGCACTTCCCTTTCGTGACAGTAGAAAAGTGCGTGCGCGACTTGATGCGCTATTCTGTATTTCTCGTGCCAGGAGAACTGCGATGGATCATTGTTTTTTAAATAGTCTTCAAGATTTCCCAATTCAGCCCACTGAGTTATAACATAAAAACATTGAGCACGCTCTTCAATGCCAAAGCTGTCAATGAGATCAAAACAGTCAGTGGAGTGCATCGATTTAAAACAATATCAAAGAATTCGACACGAATATTTACAATTTCAAAATATGATCGTTGTCACGCAAAAGATTCATTATTACAACTTGCTTGCGGAAAAAATCTTTCGCTTCCTGGCTATAAGAATAATAAGTGCCGATCCTGATTTCAGCAACCGTTCCGCCCTGATACAATCTCCTTCGTACTTTTCGATGATCCCCTCTGAATACGGGATCTTCGCCCAACGGGTCATAGATCGCGTCAGGGTTAATCATTATATCACGCAATAGATTGTCGCTAGGTGTAGCACCGCCGGTGATTGCCGCGAGCTGGATTGTGTGTCTCGACTGATCGTTGACTGCTCCGTAAATGTCTGTAACTAAATCAAGAGTAATTTCGCCCACTGCCGTTTCCATTTTCTTACCAATTTCTCGAAACTGGGATTCGATCTATATAGACATGTGATAAGTAATAGCACGTGCCTATAGGATGATGATGTAATTGTAATAGTGCATTTTACCTCATCAGAATTCAGCACACGCCATAGACTATAAAGCAAGCCGGGTTGTTGTAACTTTTCCATCAGTTGGGATGTATCATCTAACGACTCTTTGTACAAATCTATTGCTCTGGAATTCAATCTTGATTGCTGGACTCGGATTATTCTTTCATGTGCTCTCTCTGCACAGTCTGCCAACATTTTACAGAGCTTCTTGTTGTGCTTTGCTCTCTTGGCACTGTCTACGATAGTTGCAACCAAAGTTGCACACACTGCAAGCCCCGGGATCGGGGCTGCAGCAATAGTTTCAAGCGCGAGCCTAGCATATACGCTATTCATAGTTCAAACAAAGACGATCTAAACATTTGATGAGAGTTTAAACTGTGTCGATGTAGCATATATTTGTGATGGTGATACAGGTCCGCTATTACTGGATGATGTCACAGGTAAAAGGATAAAGTTCCTAATTTATGCATTTTATGCGAGACAACTGGAAACTTTTATTTACAACGACATAATAATAACAGAGTTTACGCTACAGACTTTTTGTTACTATTACAATGTCATTAGTATGATATTATTAGTTTTGTTCCTCCTTTTTCGCACGCGACGCCACTCTTGAATATCTACCAATGCCTCCATTGTGAATAACATATTTGTAACACGTGATAACGCACAGATATAACGTTTATCGCTTTAATAATGTATAACAGGAGAATCTAATATAAAAGAATTCGCATAATAGTTGGTCATGCTGTACATATTTGGCCTGAAAAAGCCACTATCATGCTCGTCTTGTAAGATGTCGTTTGCGAATCTTTTGTTTTACAAGTCTCGAATCTTCGCAAAGAAATACACAGTATTCTTAAATTTCTATCCCAACTCAAGCCTTTCTTTTCCCTGCCTACAATTCTTTTCGGAAAAACTTGTAACATCCAACGATCACTAGTCTCAGAGAATTAGCTAGACATATCGCGCTTCCCACATACACAAACGGTCGTATTGATCCTTCGACCAATTCGAATAAACACGTTAGCCAGATAACGAATCCGCCAGTTAGATTGTAAGCCCAATAAATTACTTGCATTTGAAAGAGTTTCCTGTAAAGAAGCGTGTTGGACCGTGGGTTATAGCAAAGAAAATAATAGTCTTCTTTACCTGTTAAGAGAATCGAAGAGGTCAGATATAGACAATGAAGATGACAACATAAAGTAGAGAATGGGGAAAAGAAAAGATTCCCAAGTTGAAAAAGAAATGATTGTAGATATCTACCAATAAACGCAGCAACCCCTTTTACAAGTCCAAAGTCGGCTGAATCCAATCTTCGCAGATATACTATTGACGGAACTCGGAGGAAGATCTCCACGACCATCATTGTGCGTAATGCTAATTCCGCTTCGTTGAAATGTCCCTCTTTCTACATTAAAGGCAAAAACCCGTTTGAACAGATTAAAAATAATTTCTAATATCGGATTCGAACTATACAATAGTTTCACCCCGCGTCTGTTAGGCTACATACAGATAAATCAACCAAATGATATGATTTGTCGCTTTAAATATTGCCCGCTTCTTACCTTGGATCCAATATAATTTAACAATATAAATCCATCGAATAATATAAAACTATTCATCAGCATAAACAAAGCATAGCCCGTTTTAATAAATACTGTCCAAGACTTTCTAGATCTCTCCTGCCTACTTTCGACCCTGTTAACACCGCTTTCTTCGTCGTTGCCAGAACTCTGACTGTTTACGATCTCATGGTACGGTGGTGGAGACTCGTCGTCATACACATTGGTAGTGTGTGCTGGCGCTGGAACTGTTATTGTCGGAGGGATCTCTGTGAGTTCGTGGGTTGTGGGAGTATAGGATGGTGGTTTGGGATACGGCGTATATGATGGTGGGGAAGATTGTCCGGTCATTTCAAAGTGAAAAGGAAAGAGTTATACAAATATGATATATTTTTGGTGTAGGAATAATTGGAGTCTAGCTCGCAATCGCCTTTCCTACTTTTTTTTTTTTTTCGTTTCGTAATTCTGTTCAAAGGAACCCGTCGTTCCGTTATATCAATGATGTTGGGAACCCGCTAGCCAATCAAAAGGGCTATCGCATACGCAAGTCACACAATGGTTCAAAATTACCAATCTGAATTACTGTATCAACTTTTGATAAATGACAAGTTTTGAGACCTTTGCAAAAGTGAGGATATTAATATGTCAATAGAATCGAATAGCAACAACTTGTCCTGTTTGTCAAGAAGGCGTTCTCTCTATTGCTATAACCATTTTTGTTGCAGATCAATTGCCACTTTTGGAAGGTGTTTTCAAAGACAATAATAGAGAATACAGGGGTCTACCGTAATAGTAATAATAATATTATTATTATTAAACATGGTAAACTGGGTAGTTACACCCCAGTTCATAGCTGTTGCGTATTAACCAATTTGACGGTATTATTATGCGTATTTCGTACTAGACCAATTTGTTGAAACTATATTTACACTATATTACATATTAATATTAATATGTTAACCTGCTTCAGCAAAGACTCATCTCTGCCAAGAATTTCTGTCGATCTGTACCGTTTTTGGTGTCGAACCAAATTATTGCAAACCACGCTACGGTTACCATATACATTGCTGCGACTTTTCGAAAGTATAATCAAACCAGCACCAAAATCATTGATACTTGCGTGCTAAACGGACGCTATAACGATTTCTGTAAATATAGATCTTTCGTGTTAATACGGGGCTTATCTTGGCAATAAAATCGTACTATAATATAGTGTATAAAATGGTAACTGCAACCCATCACATGGCTGCGATCATGAAAGTTCATTGATTTCTTGCAGAAAGGAGGGTTGACAATCAGGGACAATCCAATAGATCGAACGTTTAATACAGATCAACAAGTAGTACAGTTAATATACCCCCGACGGTCAAGGACGTTTCTGTGATATCATTCTTACTACTGGATTGCCATAATTGTGAAGACACACAATTAGCTAGATCGGCAGTTGAACGGACTATTTCCGCTGGTTTTATTGGTCACGCGATTAACATTTTAATTCTTTGTTTGACTCGATTGTCCCTGATACTGAGCATGATTTTCAGTAACGCGATTTTTAGTGCAACACTATCGCTTTCCATCCGTTGGTGAAACTTGGCATATATGTTTTCGATAACTTATTCTCCTGCGTAACTCCACGATGGCGTCACAAGGATTTCGGACATGACGCCATAGTATTGGTACTAATAAACAATTACAATAAGTAGTTAGGGTAGACGTGACATCCGCAAAGTGAAGAGCAGTTTTTACACTCCCATGTACATTATTAATTTCCTGGTAGTTGCGAGCCATTAATTCCTATATCAATAACATTATGATGAGACTCTCATTTAATCTTATCCACTTCTTGATCCTATCCATATCCAGTTGTTCCAAATAGTCTTTAATCTGTTTGTTACAAAGAACAAATATAAACTCATAATATGACTGTGAACTTACTGCAGAAAGAGCGGGAGAGGCGTGCGAAAGTTTTTGTTATTAAAATAAACTAGGCTTTTGTATTGTATAAATGGTTAACTTGTACGGAAAATGTACGCGGCTTCTAGAATCAACATATAAAAACACGCTTCATTAACAATACCAAATATTTCGAATTGGGAATGCCTATCTGTAAAACTACTTGATAGTGCACAGTTAAGAGGCGTCAATTTTGATAGTAAATCGCCGTTGTTGATGGCGGTCTGTACGAGAGAATAAAAGTTTGTGAGAATGTTTGTAGTAATAGACAACGTCGTTTTGTAGTAGCATGATGTTAATCCACTCCAGCTGTCCTACGTCCGAATACACTTTTACGCTAACTTGACATATATGCTACCCTGTAATTGCTTCCATCACAATAGTAGAGTATAAATTTCTGTTGCCAAGATGCCATAATCTATTTAGACCTCATTACTTGTAAGAATAATCGAACTTCAAATCTCGCACATTTTCCACCCACAAATTCCAGCATGTTTTCTCTTTCCATCCAAATGACTTTGCTTTCTCATCAGCGCAACCTTTCTGAACGTCTGTACGCGTACGGCTGACAAGGTGGTGAGAAGAGCCAAAGCGTTGCAGAGTCTATGTCAGATTTTCAGAGTGTCAAAAAAAAAGGTAGGAAGGAAATGACAAAGGAAATCATAACGTGCACAAGTTAGTCGGAATGTTGAACGTTCTCATTAAATGCATCATCAAGAAAGAGATAGAAAGCACTCTCGACAGGAATTTTACCCGATATATTTTATTGGCCGTATTGTTGATATTGAACGAAATGAATGCTTTAAGTGTGAAGAAGAATAAGCGTTAAGTATAGAAAAGTAGTATGTAATTAGATGACGAAGGACGGCTGGTTTCGTACAATTACCAACAAAGCGGCTAGAATAGAACCACTCGTATTATTTATTGCGTAATGTATAAATTTGGATTTTTTATTATTATAACAAAAAAAGTGTAACAATGATGATAATCAAGACGCTTTTGCCAGACAACTGTAAGCAATTTGAAAGGCTCAAGGCTCTTTAAATGCACACTAACAATTACTAATATATGAGACGTTTTAACTCGATTATTCCTGGACAATTTCGTAGCATTGTTTGCAAATGGATAATTATTTAAGCTTATAATATTAAGTTACAGTATCTTTTAATTGTATCGTTTGTGTATGCATTACTGCTGCATTAGTCGTACACATGAACAGAAATACTGCGAGGCAGCAAAGCGGAAGCGCATGAAAATTGAGGGGAGCCGTTCACTTGCCCGACAGTCATTTGCCCAACAAATATTTACCAGCCTTGTCGGGCAAATGAACCAGACCCAAAATTGAGCGTAACTTTCTTCAATTAGATTTATCGCAGTTCGGTAGGTAAGTCAGATTCAAAACGCATCCCAGCAGATATTTTCCATACAAGACAATCATTGCAAAGAGGTTGATCAATTTACCTTATTATTATGATGATACAGTAATTACAAGGCTACTATTGCAATGTGTCTTATATACACGCTTGCAGCAGTGACGGGGTTTATATACGACACCAGAAAAGTTTTTACTATACTAACATATATTTTGTGTATGCACTATACGTTTCGCTAAATCCTATATTACAATCCTTTGTTTATGTTCTGGCCCGTAGCGAAATTCAGCCCGATTCTAAATCAGGCACGCGTCAGAATATTTATTTTACAGTGAAACTCTATTTCAAAGTCCCGTTTTAAGACTTTGCAACGTCGGTTTGAAAATAAATTGAGCGAATTAATTTTGACTCTCAAATAATAATGATGATAATGTATACTAAA